ACGAGCAATCAGTTTTTGGCAAATACCGGAAATCACTTTTTGGCAGACAATCACTTTTTGGCACAACACCGGTAATGCTCTTTGATAATTGGGCTCGCTTGCTAGCACTGGCTAATTAGCGCTATTAGCTATATTCTGATTTTGTCTCTTACACTACCATTCTGAATCCTTTTAAATGCAGTTTAAAAGGAAGGAAGCACCCTTAAAGGCCCTTTCTGAACTGAGCGGTTTCTGTCACACTTCAAGCCTTATTATAGAACAAAATGGTTTGCATCAGAAGTTAGTGAGGGTGGTTTCTGCCTATGCAGCCACCCTTTGGAAAACCCAGGAACTATTTTAGCAATCATTAAACCACGTCTTTATTAATAAATGTAAAGGTGTCAAAACTCACCGTTAAAACCCACTAGACCGCTCTGCAGATGAACTTTTAGCTAAGCTGGGCGGCCTCATAACCACACATTCCCAGCTTCACCTTAAACGTAATGCCTAGAAGGATGGGACACATGCCATATCCTTATCCAAAACTTGCATAACTACAGGTCGATGCTGCGAGATCACTTACATCACCGCACGTCACTGACGTAAAGCTGCCGTTTTGAGATCACAGGTGCAGCAGGGGGGTTGTTTTTTTTGTTTTTTTTTTTACTTTTACCACTGCAGTAATTGTATCAGCCTTTTTTTAAACAAACCACAAATAACAAATCTGCCCCCTTAAGACATTTTTAAGGCAGGAGTTGACGGCTAACATTAGTTTTAGTTTTAGTTTTATCTGCAAATAGAACACTGTGTTATAAAATTATAGGTGATGATTTGGCTAGAAATTTGCCTTGGCACCCTTGAAGCTTATATTACCTGTGCATTACGTCAGGTATGATGTGGTTTTAAAGAATGCTAGTCAGCGGATGGGCCTCTTCATACCTGACATGATGTAAAGGTGAAAATATTAACTTGTGTTCTCCAGTGGACATAATTGCTACACTATTTCTAAACTACCTCAACCATGCCTCAGCTAAAGATAATAATACTTTTACCCATGACCAGATGACAACCAAAACTCAACATCTGAATACAAGAACCTACCATGTCCACATCCACCTCATACAGCCAATCATCTTCCAAGTCGAGGAAAAACCAGCTTTGCTGATGTTGCTGTTGCTGCTGGTGAGGCTGCAGCAGAACCAAGGCCATCTCAAGCCTTTGATAAGGCTGCTAGCTCTAGCAGTTCTAACAAAGGACAAGGTCCCTCCTATAAACACCAGTTCTCAGACCCGTCAGGATCCTTCACACGATTCTGATCAAGGGCCCAGACAGAGGTCGACAGTCCGCAGAGCAACGCACTAAATCCAAAGAGCTTCGGCTTGAACGCTGGAAATAACGAGACCTTTTCATTGCCATAGATGCTCCCAACAAGTCTTCTCTCCTGCTCCTTTCTAGACTAATTAGTCTTCCTCTCACCTCCTCCAGTCCTCCTAAATGATACACTAATCCACCCACAGCTCAGGCTGAAATTAGCTCATCTCTGCCAAGGTTAGAAATCAAAGGTTAATTAGACTTCCGAGCTTATGCCAGTGAATGAACTCAGCGCACGCTAGAGATTAACCACTGACTGAAAGTGAACGCTCCTCTAGCACGCAACTGTACTTAAATATAGGCAGCAGCCCTTCAGGGTTTGATTATTCCCTGATAATCTAATAAAATGTCAGAGTTTCATGTTTGCTCCATTCAAGAAGATTTCTTTTACCATTCAGAGTTCATTTCATTCACAAGTGACAAATTCTTCAGACTCCTCCCCCCTTTCATCTGCTCTGGTCATGAATGAATCACACTACTCATCTGT